AAGAAAAAATAATTCCATATTTATCATTGATCAAATATATTAACAGGCACCTAAGGAAAGAATATATACAGAATGAAAGTAGGCATATGAAATGGTCCTCCATATCAAATGTCATCAGACAAATACAAATTAAAATGAAACACCACTGTATACCTGTTAGAATGTCCAAAATCCAAGCAACACCAAATGCTGGAGCAACAGGACCTCTTATGCATTGCTCAGGGGAATGCAAAATGGCACAGAAATTTTGGAAGCAGTTTGGTGATATCTTACAAAACTGAACATTCTCATACCACAGATCCAGCAATCACAGTTCTTGGAACTTTTTGAAACGTTTTGAAAATGCATCATCTCCGCACAAAGCCTGCACACAAATGTGTGTGATAGCTATATTCATACTTGCCAAAACTTGGAAACAACCAAGATATCCTTCAGTAGGTAAATAGATAAACTGTGAGACATCTGGACAATAAAATATTATTCAGTGTTAAAAAGAAATGAGTTATCGAGCTATAAAAAGACATGGAAACTTTAAATAGATATTACTAAGTGAAAGAAAATCTGAAAGGCTGTAGCTTGTTTGATTCCAACAATAAGACATTGTGGGAAAGACAAAACTACAGAGACAATAAAGAGATCGTTAGTTGGTAGAGGAGATGGATAAACAGATCACAGTGGAGTTTGAAGGCAGTAAAAATAATTTACATCATACTATAATGATGTGTATGTATCATTTATGCCATTGGTCCAGATCCATAGAATATACAACATAAAGAGCAAACCACAATGTTAGCCATGGACTCTGGATTATTAAGATGTGTCAATGTAAGTTCCTTAATTGTAGTATGTTTTACTCTGGTGAAAATATTGATAATGAGGGAGATTATAAGTGTGTTATGGGAAGGAATATATGTGAGTTTCTTGTACCTGCTTCTTAATTTTTCTGTGAACTAAAACACCAAAAAAATAAAGTTCTTAAATATGAAAATAATCTCCATTTTTGTCCTTGGTGATACCATAGTGAATTCAACATGTTGAATATGTAGTGCACTATGATATGTCTATATATGAATTTATTTTTATTTACCCCTCTTGAAATTTGTTGGGTTTACTCTACAGTCTTCTCTGCAGTCTGAAAAATCACAGATAATCTCTTTTCAAATATTATCTTAGACTTAACCTGTCAATCTCTCTCTCTCTCTCTCTCTCTCTCATAAAACTGATTCAATTTATGTTAGACTCTTCACTATATTCTCCATTTCTCTTAACTTTTCTTTTATATTTACAATCTCCTTGCCTTTCTATATTGCTCTTTGGATACTTTTTTTCTTAGTGACTTTCACTTTTCAAATTCAGTTTTTTCTTTCCTATCTAATGTATGTGTTAAACCCAATTAATGAGTTTTCTATTTCAATTTTGTGTGTGAGTGGTACTGAGGATTGAACCTAGTGAGCACTTGAGCTATGACATCCCCAGCCCTTTTTATTTTTTAATTTGAGATGAAGGGCTTGGTAAGTTTCCCAGGCTGCCCTCAAACTTGCAATCCTCTTTCTTCAGCCTCTGGAGTAGCTGGTGTAATAGGTGTGCTCCACCCACCACACCTGGTCCATTTTAATTTCTGTACAATCTTTCCTTGGTATCTATAGGATCTTCTGTGAATATTAAAACATGTGGATGCGCAAATGCCTTCTATAAAATGCAGTTACATATCTTGAGAATTGTTTTGTTATATGCTAGTTATTTTTATTGTGACCTTATTTTAATTTTCCTTGGAAAATGAATTGTAAGAATTGAGACCTATTATAGAAGCATGTGTAACCAAAAGAGATATATGTCTGGTACAATAATGTTCTAAACTGTATTCACAGGTCAAAAGTTTTGGGTCAATCTAGGATGTAAATCTGTCCAACAACCTCTTCATGGTTGTAATGTCTCCAAGACAGACAGTTACCCTCTTCCCCACTTTTCTCAACATCAAGGCAATTTCTTTGCAGTTTTCTTGGGCTGAATTGGTGGTGTTTCCCTCTGGCTCTGGCTTTATGTAGGGAGGGGCCCTACTGGATTTTCACTGTGAAGTGGGCCCCACACTGTGACTTCTACTGTGTATCGTGGGAGGGCATCAAAATAGATAATAAATTCACCTGATTTGAAAGTGGTCCTCTTGTGGCATCAATTTCAGTGTCCTTTCCTCCCTAGGTATAAAGTTTCCTTCAGATCTTGCAATATCTTGTTAGTTATTTGATTCTATAATTAAATTTTATATTTTGTCCATTATTTGCCTTTTTTTTTAAAAAAAAAGGTTAATTTTCTAGCCCATCATATTTCCATAAATGGAACTTTAATATGGATTTTGAAAAGCAAATCAATATAGGGTAGTTAAGAATACAGATTCTGGAGCCAGACTGGCTTTACGTGAATAATCTAAGATTTATCTGATATGTGATATTGGGGAGGTTACTTCATTGTATTTCATTTTTCTCATTTTTGAGATGAGGAAAATAATATTACAGTTATACTTAGTACACTTTGACCCCAGATAATCACTTAGTAAATGTTTGCTAACATTATTATGACTATCTCTCTATGAGAATTGGTAAGGGAGAGGAAACAACGAATGTCAAAAAATAAAAAGGGTGAGGATGACATGTACAGAAACAGAATGAGTAAGACAAAAATTTGAGGGAAAATGATATAAAAAGTTTTATTAAGAAAGTCTTAGCTGGGCATGGTGGTGCACACCTGTAGTCCTAGCACTCGGGAGGCTGAGGCAGGAGGATTCCCTCAAGTTTGAGGCCAGCCTGGGCTTTATAGTGAGTTCAAGATCAGCCTGAACTACATAGTGAGACCCTCTCTAAAAAAAAAACAGAAAAAGTCCTGCTGTGTGTTATATAACATACAGTGGACCCTTGACTTATGAATTTGATCAGTTCCTGAGGAAGGGTTGGTTATAAGTCAATACTGATGAGATCTTGATGTTTACCTGGGTATACTCTATACATAATAAGAAGCAGTTGAATTTTCCATTAACGTAATTAACCCAAGTTGTTCATATATTAGGTGGGTTGTAACTTGAGGTCCACTGTAATTTGCCTCTATTCTCAAAAGATCTTCCGTATAGACGTACACTGCTATTCTAATTAATTTATTTTTTGTGCTGGGGGTCAACCCAAGGCCCAAGAGACACATGCTAGGCACAGCGCTCCACCACAGACCTACACCTTTTAACCGCTTTTAGGATCTTTTAAAAAAAATTTTTTTTCTTTTATGATCTTTTAAAAATAAGATTTCTGATTACAAATGAGGAACTTAGAAAACAAGGAGCAGGCTTTCTCCACCTCTGCACTGGAAGTGGCTTTGGCGGGATAAGTCTTTCCTATGTGGGGTGGTCTGGTCCATTTTAGCAGCTGACCCAGCCTGGACCCACTAGATGCTAGCAGCATCCCCTCAACTCCTAACCAGCACTGTCACTGCATGAGGTCCAAGAAAGATGTCCAAGAGAAGACAAGGACCTCACCTTGGCCTGCTGAGTAGGTTCTTGACTTGCATCATGGAAAAAGAATTTCAAGACCTGGCAAGGGGAGGCACAAGCAGGTTTATTAGGTAGAGTTAGAAAGTAAGGGAGACTAGGAAAAGGACTCCTGCTGAGTAACTAGAGGGGATCACTCTAATGCAGGGGTTCAGACTCATCACTCAAAAAAGCAGGAGTCCAACTTTTAAGGATCAGCTGAGGTGGTCCAGGGTCCAGTTGACCATTATTTCAGTTCTGGTTTCATAGCTCTAAAAAATCCTTGTGGCTTGAGGAATAATTTTTTTTTCCCACAAAATGATTGTCCTTGCCCACGAGAGAGAAGGGCTACTTCAGTTCTGTCATGGGGTAACTGCTTCTGTTGGGAGTAAGTGATCTCCTCATGGGGTGGCTCTGTTAGGCTCTGCTGCTCCTGGAATGAGGCGATTATAGGTTTGGAAGGCTTCTGGGTGTGGCTCCAGGGAGACCTGAAACTGGACTTCCTAAAAGCTGGCAATCAAGTGTCCCTGCAACCCCGGAAATTAGTTACTCTTACCTTACTCTGTCTTGAAGCTAGGTGAGATAGACTAGGTAAATTTAAGGTTGATAAATCTTGTTTTACCAACTTTTCCTAAATAATCACTATTTCTACTTGCAGAGCTAAGCAAGAATCAGACCCAGAGTTTAAAGGTAATAAGGAAGACCAAAACAGTGCTTCTTGTTTCCTTTCTATCTGTATACCTCCCGTTGCACCGCAGGACAACCAAAAATGTCTTCAGATCTCACCAGACAAGAAACGCTGGGAAGAAAACGCTGCAGGTTGATAGCTACTGCATCAGAGGAATTACAAAAATCCGACCAATCTTGAAAAGTAAACTTTTTGTTTACATAAATAAAAATTACAAAAAAGCTCAAGTTGAACTCACTGTACCATAACTACTGTAGTTTTCCACCTACTTTGTAATACAGCAGCAGCAGTTTTGTTATGTAATACAGTATACAGGCCATTCTTTAATGGAAGCTCCTAACAGTGAATGGACCATATTTCGCATAACGAGTCCTGTAGAAGTAAAGAATCTGATTGTTTTAAATAAGGCTATACTTCATATACCTGATTGTTTCCTTAGAATAAATTCTAGTAAGTATAATTGCTGCTTAAACTAAAGTCAAAGTATGTAAATTTGAGGCAGTTCACTAGCATGGTGATGAGAGTCAAAGACATCTAGTATCCCCTTACCCGTCAAATACCCTTTATTCAGAATCCATTCTCAAACGCAGAAATGTTTTCAACACTTCCCCTCCCTCTCTCGGCTTTGTTGCTCCTAGTCTCGCTGCATGACAAAGGTTTCCCGAGAGTGATCGTCCAGCCGTATCAGTCTTCCACCAGCTGAGGGCGCTGTGGAATCCCGGCGGACGAACCCGGAAGTCGGTGGACGCTCTGCCCGCCCGCCCGGCATAGTCTGGCCGGTGTCGCGTTTTGGGAGTGTTTCTAGGAGACGACGCTCACCGGCTGCGCCTGTGCGGCTGACGCTGCCGGGGACAGGCTGACGGACGGGGGCGCAGGCCGGTAGACGGAGCTCTGGCCGGCTGTGGGTCGCTGCTGCCACCCGGTTTCTCTCACCCCATGGTACACCTGTGAGGCCGGCTGCCGGCTGAGGTCTCCTCGGGATGGAGCACATCCGAACGACCAAGGTAGCCGGGCGCGGGAGGGTGTTCACTTCTGGCCGAGGTCCTTCCCGGCGGAGGAGGGTGGCGACGAAGGCTTGGTCTGCTCGGCCGGGGCGGGGACCCGTGCGGCAGAGGCGCCTGGCGGGGCCTGGTCTGAGAGGCCAGGGTAATTTAGAGTCCTGGGTGCGGTGGAGGCCTGTAGCTGTGGGAGCAGGATCTCAGCGGCTCGGGGTGCTGGGGGGATAAGACCGGGAAAATTGGTCGCCGCCCTCTTAGCCCTGTGTTTTCTTTTGGGGAAAATTGGGGCCATTGAACCATGGGGCTTTCAGCCCTTCGCTGCCTTGGACACCGAAACACCGGGGTCCCCACGCTAACTTTGCTGTACGGTTGGTCCTTTCTCTCGTTCCTTCCCCTTCATTGTCAGGTGCCACAGGTTAACGATGCACGTTTTGGAGGAGATCTCTGGGAGCTGATGCTCCATCTTCCTTTTTTCTTGTCTAGGGTTCCAGTCCTTGGAAACTGGTGTTTCTGTATCTGTACGTCAAATTTAGGCACTGTCTTCAGTGTCATTAGTTAACAGAAGAGTTAGCAAAAGGGAAAATGTTACACCATGTTGTAAAGGGTTGGACGCAACTTTCTTCAACCGAGCTTATCAGATCCAATTCTAACTTTCGTGTTTGAAAGACATTTATTTTATGATTTTGTTACAAGTTTAAAAACGGAAGGAAATAACTCAGAGTATTAGTTGTTTAACAACAGTTAAGTCAAACTTCAACTTCTAGAGGAGGAAAAACAGAAATTAAGTAAAAACTGAGTAACATTTTAGGCCGATAAGAATCTGTTAATCAGGAGGAGGACCCGCTGTGAAAGCTGACTCTCCTGTTTAGCTAGAGCCAAAACCATCAGTGAGTTGCTGCTCATCTTAAAGTTACAGCTCAGTTAGGAATAAGCAGACTTATCTTTGTTGTTCCAAAGAGAATTTGAGATTTGTGTCTTTAAAATGTCTCATAACTGTTTTAAGGTGCACATAGATTTTTTATTAGAGCTTGTTTTTAACACAATATGCTAAGTAGAATGGAAGATGGTAGAAACTAACCCCTTTTTAAAAAATCTTTTTTTTTTTTAAAGAGAAGAAGGGTACAGTAACTTGAAAGTTGAAGTTGCTAGTACCGAATGAACATTTGAAAACAGAAGGGTGATTAAATAACCAAACTAGTAGAAGGTGCAAAGGTGCATGAAAGGGCTAGAATGGGCATAGGATCAGGTTCTTGTCCTGATTACAGGGTTCCATATGTGCATTATATAGTAGCATATACACTTTCTTTCTACACTGTTTGAAACTCATTTTTCATATGCTTTCTACACAATAGAAAACCAGTAAAAGTGAACTGAATCTAATAAAATAAAATAAAGTGTATTCTTAAGTGAATAATAAGAGTAAACATTGAAATTTTTGGAATTTCTTTGTGGTGTTGGGGATTGAACCCATGGCATCATGCATGCTAGACAAGTGCTGAATCACTGAGCTACATCCCAGGCACTCTGACCCCTTTTCCTCCTGACTGTGATCCTCCTGCCTCAGCCTCCTGAGTAGCTGGTGCCACTGTAACTGCCCTTTATTATTTTATATCTTACCTTATGATGAATATATATATTTGTTTTTATTCATATAGTTATAACTTTTCTTACTATCTCCTTGAAGATTGTCATTGATGACTTTCATTTAGTCTGATGTTCCTCTTTACCAGCCAATGAACTTTCCTTCAGTTTATTTTCTGATTTATTCTTATCTTTTCACAGTGGGCCTATGCTGTTGGTTTAATAATCACTCTTTATGCCTTTTTAAAGATTAAAATATTTCTGACTAATTTGCTATTAAAATTACATTTCAAATGTGCTTATTACTTTATATTTGTATTTTTTTTTTTAGCATTGGACCACTATTTTGGAATCATCTTAAATGGGTGTATATAGATTGTAATTAAAGAAATATTTGCTAACTATCTATTATGTATCAGGCACTGTACAGACACTGCATATACAACAGCAAGATAGACATGGACCTCATAATGCCTTCTAATAATTGTGTATACTGTAACATTTTTGGTAAATAATCTGTTGTGAAAAGAACTTCAGAAGATTGAACATAGTCAACTTTTTGTTTCCATTATGTATAACTTTTACCTGGACATAGTTAATTCGATATAGAAATAATATTAAGTATTTCAGAACCAAAAATGGATTGCTTTGAGTTTATTAACTTTTGTTTTGTTTTTTGGGACAGGGAGGGTCTTATTATGTAGTTCAGGATGCACTTGAACTCACTGTGTAGCCCAGGCTGACCTGGAACTCACGTGATTGTCTTGCCTCAGCCTCCCAAGGGCTGAGATAAGAAGCATGCACTGCCATGTGGGGCCTACCATTTTGAATTGTATAGTTTAGTCAGTATGATCAAGAATTGACTATTGTATCATATGATGATTTAGTGTTTTTTTATGTTGTTCAGACAGGTGTATGTAAAAAGTAGTAATTACTATTTATTGAGCGATTAAATAGCAATATAGTTGCCAACTATATAATTTTACAATGTTCACAATTTCACATATATGTTAATTTATACAGTGTTTTCATTAATATTTCAAATAACTCTGTAAGTTGTGCTTCCTTAGTTCCATTTCCAAATGAGGATGAGGAAGAAATAGGCTTAGAGAGTTTGAGTAGACTGTCTAATTAGTTTATGAGGACTAGTTTAGATTTAAACTAAGGTTTATGTAACTCTAAAAAGTGTGTATGCTTTTTCCAGTGTCTCCAGTATTATTCTAATTGCTAAATTTGTATTAATTTAAAAATAAATCCAAATACTAATTCTAAAAGCTTTTACTTGCCTAGTGTGGTGGTGCATGCTTATAATTCCAGCACTCAAGGGGCTGAGGCAGGAGGAGTGCTCTGAATTCAGAGCCAGCCTGGGTTATGTAGTGAGTTCAAACCCACCCTGGACTACATAGTGAGATCCTGTCTCAAAAAAAGAAAAAATACTTCCCCAAATATTTTCTTTTTATAAGTATATAATAATTAATGCACTATTACTGTTTTCTTGTATTGTTTAGAATCATGTGTTTTATGGGCTTCTCACTAGAGATTAGAATTTTAGCTGGGTACTAATTAAATAAATTTGTAGCAGTAGAACTCAGGAACAAATATATCATCTTGCTTTAGTCACATTTGGTTTATTAATTGTATAACATTAATGAATATGACAAGTTTCTGAATTTGAATTTCCAGAGGAGCATTTTCAAGCTATGCTTATGCACTGGTAGCTACTGCCTATCACTTTGAGCTCTGATTTTGCCATAATGAGATGCTCTTACTAAGAAACTTAGTGAGAAATATGTAGAGACAGTTCTTTATGCATTGTTTGTCTTTTTCCTGCCAGGCTCCAGTGCTTTGGCTCACATCTTTACTGATGGCCAAATATATTGTGCTGTCTGTGAATAGAACTTTATATAATGAGATAGAAGAACATTTTCCTAAGCTATACAAGAAAGACCATTTTTTAGAGTTTGTTGTAAAATTGAATATCCCCCTAAAAAATCTGATCCTACTGGGGCTCCAGTTGAGTTATTCCAAAAGTGCTCCAACTTGTTCTTCAACTTGCTCTATCCTTTTGTAATTAGAATGTAAGATCATACATGCATAGATTATCTGTTACAAAGAGGGAAAGAGATCTAAAACTAATGAGAAACTGATAACTCTTTAAATTGTCTTTGTAATAAAGAGCCAATGGGTTTTGAGGACTGCCTGAACTTTTTTCCCAAATACTGTGGTATTGACTGTTACTGGTATTATCCCGTTTTATAGGTGAGAAAACTGAAGTTTGTAGAGATTAAATTACTTGACCTGGCTCACACTGCCTGCTGGGAATGATAAGCTCAGAGCTCACTGGAGCAGGGTTCTTGGCTTTCCGTGTTCCTGATAAACAGGCCTGGTTCTCTTAACCACAGAATACCTGGTCAAGAGATTTGAATAGTGAGGTTGGGCAGTCTGAGTAGGAATAGAGCTGAACAGGGAGGTAAGATTTTGTGTCGTATTTAGCTGATTTTAAGGATCTAACCCTAAGGAAATGATCTGACCCAGAGAAGCTGACTTGGGAGTCTTCTGGGTTGAGATAATCTGGAAAATTTTTGTTGTAGATATTTTTGCAAAAGGAATATGTTATAGAGGAGAGTGGGAAGGTTAGGGCCCTGGTCTGAAAAGGGGACAAGAGGGAGAGAAACTGAGAAAAGTGTAGTGTGTATAACATTGAGAAAGGTGAATCATAGGTGTGAAAGGAGCTGTCTTCCCTACTGTGATTTCCTTTTGTGCCCCTTTGCTATCTTCTGCTTCATTCTTTTCCTTGGACCAGGCACTGTTCTAGGTACTAGGGAAATGGCAGTAAACAAACCTGACAAAAACTCCTACCCTGACAAAATGTATTTTCTAATTGGAGAAGATACCACAATAAACAAATTAATAAGTCAACTATACAATATGTTAGATGGTGAAAAGTGCTATGGAAAAAAACCAAAGCAAACATGTAATCCCAGCATGGGGGAGGCTGAGGCAGGAGGATATATAGTGAGCTCTAAGGCCAGCCTGAATTACATAGCAAGCCCCTGTCTTATCAAATAAGACAAAAGAAAACAGAACAATGAACAAAGGCTCTGGAGAGTGGCTGGCTGGGGTTGGAGGGACAAATGTAAATTGGGTAATTCAGACTTAAAATTGGGCAGGATTTGGGTCTCCACAGCAGAACAGCAGATCATAAACCATTTTGGGGGACATGCCTGGTTGCTAAGAACTAGCAAGATGGGATTGAAAAGGAACAGAAGATTAAAGTTGAGAGGACAGAGGCAAATTACTATAGACTTTTGAAGGCCTTTGTAAAATCTGCTTTTACTCTGAGTTAGGCAGGAAGACATGGATGGAGTATCAGCTATTTTCAACACTACAGAAAGGTAAAGTAAGATATAACTGACAAGTTTCCA